TTCTACAGACCATGGGGACAGGAGGTCGAAGTTTTGTTGAAAGACGTCACAATCGCCGGGAGAATCAATTATCCTCCAAATCTTCAGCTCATCCGCAGATAATGTGCAGGGAGACCGAAGAAGCTGAGCTACTTCGTTTAGGTGATCAGGAATAAATGGGTCCCAGTACTGTACCTTGGAGTACGCCGCTAGTGGACAGGTAAGATTTCGTTAGGTGGTCGTCCACCTGAAGCCGCCATCTTCTCCCAATTAGGAAGTCACTGAGCACCTGGTGCAATGCACCACCAACACCATACGTCCTCACCTTGTGAAGCAGAACCTCATGGGTTACTTTATCAAAAATTTTGATGAAATCATATAGGTAACATCCACTGACTTCCGCCGATTCAACGCTTGCAATCATTTCTGCTGCATCAACAGCAGGTTGGTGATGCATACGCGGCCCCTCATGAAGCCGTGCTGTGTCCGCGTTATGAGCTCTCTGGACTCCAGCAGCTAGAGCCCACCCACTTTTACAATCTAATCAAGCAGCTTCGTTAAAACAGAGGTGAGACAACTCGGTCGGTAATTGTTCACATTGCGTGGGTCACCACCTTTTGATATCGGTTTCACTATTGAGCATTTCCAGTCGATCGGCCATTCACCCTCGGACAGCGATCTGTTGAACAGATCCGTCACGGCAGAGGAGATGATGGCCGATAAGGAATTCAAAATTAACGGGTGAAGTCCATCGGGTCCGGCAGCTTTTGTCCCGTCAAGACCGGCAAGTAGACTGCGGACATCTTCTACACCGCAATTAAGGCCCTCGAGTGCAGTAGTGGCTGCACACATCGAGCTCGGCATCGGCGCATGCCCACTTGTAAGTACGGCAGCGAAGTGCTCTGCTAATGCGGACGCACCTTCCGTGCCGCAGATCAAAGGCTGTCCGTCAATGCCCTCTAACACAGCTACGTCACTTGCGGACCTCAGGCGCCATTTTACGTGGGCAAAAATCTCCTTGGAGCTGTCTCCTCTGCGGTTGTAAGCATACTTTCGAACTACCGAGAATTTTGCGCTTTTGCGCTGTTGCATAGATTCCACTGCTTTTGTACGCCTCATAATCGTCGGCGGAGACAAAGACAAGGAATTTCTTCTACAATTCGCGTCGTGGTCGAGCCAATCGAATATACTCTCTGTCGAACCAATGTGGCTTCACTGGTCCAGCCTTCCGATATTTGGGAGGGACGAAACGAGCGCACAACGAGTGCACACCCTCCTTTATAACAGACCAACAAGCTTCAACGATGAATCTTGTGGCAGCGACCAGTCTACTTCAATGGCGGCTCGATTTAGACCATTGAAGGTGGTCTTCCAATATTTGTAGGACGGCTCCGGCGGACGTTAGTAGGGCAGGGGCAGCTCTAAGCTGGATAACACCGTCGAGTGGTCACTAACTGCCAGAGGTTCCTTGACCTGAATTTCATGTACACGTTGCTCGCTACTCGTTAGTAGTAAGTTGGCACGATGGAGGGGAATGCGGTTTAACCTGCGTAGGTTGGCAGACATGTGCAGCCCCACTTTAGGATACCGTCTGCGCAAAATGTGTCTCGACTTTCAAATGCTAGGGGAGAAGTTGAACCTCAGACCACTATGTTTGAGGGAAGTTAAAACCACCCATAAGCAGGAAGCGGGGCCAGGACATGTAGTTTCTGGCATGCGGCAAGCAATCCAGGCATCGACTTCCCGGGGGCTGCGATGAGCCGCACAGACAAACCATTCAAGTTGTTTCAGACCGATCGAGCACCATAACTGTCCCCACAAGCCATCTTTACTACTGTAATTGTGTACTAGTCTCCCGCACAGCGGGGACCGAATGTATAACCGCACGCCGGCTCGATCCTTGGATAGCCAGTTGCACCAGAAGCACGAGTAGCCACTGAACTGGAATTCCTGGGTAGTGACCACAGGATTTAACAAGGTTTGGGCCAGTCCTAGTACGTCCGGACGACGTGAGGCAACGAAGTGAAATACATCGTCATGTTTGTTAATTAAACTACAAGCAGTTGTGAAGGCTACGCGCAGACCGCGGTAGAAACCGACGGAAACGCATAAAGCGTTATCGACCTGTCGATCCGGGTTCGGCGGACCCGGGGCACTACCCGAAAATTTGCAACTTGGAGATTGATTTCTCCACCATTAGTCCGCCTCTTCAACCCGATAATAGCGGACTTCAGCTTTTTATGTCAGATAAATCCAAATTGGGACGAATATGGATCTTTAGACCACTTAGCCTACCGAGGAGAGATAGTATCAACCTCGGACTAGTTGCCACAACAAAAGTGACTCGCACAGGCCGGTATTTCCCCTACACTCTCTTTCCAAGACGGGTGATGTGCTTCACTCGCAACCACTGTTCATTCACGTCGAGAATCCTATCAGGCAGGCTCTGCAGAAAATCCACGTCATGGTCATAAGAAGCCTGAGGACTAGCATTTGTTGACTCAGTCGCGTGAAATATCATGTCCCAAAACCGCTGGTTTCTGGCGGTTGTCTTCACCTTTTTGCTTCGTTGCATTCTCTATTGGCCTTCAAGGATTCCACTATCGCACATCGGTATGTCAGTGTCCGTAGGACGCAACACAGGCACGTCAACTGAGTCTCCAGCAACGGGCGGATATCGCACTGGAGAGCCTGCAGTCGGTGTGCAGTGGGATCGTGCAACCATAAAGGTGGCCGGGTCTCTGCTTGCTTGGATGAATGGAGCTCCTCCCTATGGAACGTTTCGCCTGTCTTGTAAGGTGGTGCGGATTCTCGGCTGTTTGTGACGGCACAGGCATACCAGCTGAGGCTCCAGCAACGGGTGGATATCCCTCTGGAGAGCCTACAGCCGATAGACAGGTGGGCTCATTTGAATATGGAGTTGGCTAAGTTTCCGCTTAATTGGATGAAGCCACGGAGCTCCAGATTATAGAACGTTTTGCCCGTCTTGTAAGCTCGCGCGGCTGCTCGGCTGTTTGTGACTGCACAGTGGCTTGGTATTTCCTGCGCAATATTTGGACATAGTCATGCTGGATTTCACGCAGCAGTTTAACATGATCTAAAGGCAAACCAATACACGAAATGTAGAAAATCACACCACACATAAGGCAGGTAACAACGTTGGCTCTATACATAACTATTTTGCAACAAGTGTCACGGGATGTCAGTTTGCAAATTGTGTAGCCCAGCCGAGTCCCCCATGACTCAGTGGCTTAGGCTGCTGGCTACTTGGCATCTGCCTCTAGCGGTCATAGGTTCGATCTCCAGTAGGGGACCGAGGGAATGCGCACCACTGACGAGCCCCAATAGAAGTCAGCTTTGTCATTACTGATAGCTTAGCCGACGTGATACGGTAAAGGGGCTACAGTGAACAATAACTACCGGATATGAATACCAGAGCAACATATGCGGACACGAAACTAATACACAATAACCAAATTCAGAATCGCAAAAGAAACTGAATTTGCTAAAAAATAAATATGAAATATCTGCTCTGCACAAAGTAATGAATGCTGTAAACCGGGCTGTCAAATAGAGTGAGAAAAGTCGTTCGGCAAGCACTATTCGCAGCAGCAGCAGTAGTAGTAATAGCAAAAGTAAACAACCCCGATTTCAGCACAAAACAGTATAGAAGTGGATCAACACAACAAAATCCTCCCACTTATCAGGAACAAAAGGCTGGCACTGGTTACAGTTATGCCATCATCCTTGGAGGTGACATAGCCAACACAGGATTGTCAAACGTTACGTTGAGTGTAACGGTAATAGGCAAATCCTGAATGGTATGCCACCAGCTACTGTTCCAATCTTGATGTGTGCTACAGATGTCAGTGACTGTACGTCATCCTAGTTGGGTGTTCAATTTTAAAATAAAACTTGTATGATTGATTTTAGCCGTACGAATAATGTTACCGAGTGGGATGGATTCTCGAACTTGCGTTGTAGCATTGGGTGCATTAAGAAGTATTTTGAAGTGAACCCATAGTTAGGCTTGTGCTGCCAGCTCTCAAAAGATACAGAAAATGCACTAGGTTACGCATTACAGCTCAAGTAAGCATAGTACAGCAACGCAATGCAGCACGACTAGAGTGGGAGAAACGAGAGCACAGAGATAGTAGCCAATGCATGATTGCAGTACTGCACGACCGATTTCGTGCTCGTTTGCACGCATCAAGTCTAGAAAGGAGCTTTGAGATTCGAATCCTAGATCTTTAGAACTTCAACCGTAGCCTACACTCCTATGCTACCGAGGTGTCAGCTGGTAGTTCATTGGCTTCGGGTTCGAGTTATAATGCTCCGTACATCAGCTGCTGAGGTCAACTAGATACGAAACTGGTAGTGGAACGCAGTGTCTTCGGGCTGGCTACCCCTGCTATTCATCTGTTTCATCAGTTATGGCCTCAGTGATCTATTTGACCAAGTTCACTTCAGGGCGACTCACGGTTCACATTGATATAGCGCGTTTCACTCCATTCTTACACTTACTGCTTCAAAAATGACCTTATCCACTAGGGAAAATTAAACCGTTCCAAGCAAGAAGAGAGTACGACACAGTGATACCATTTGCATGAAGCGCCAACTAATAGAAGGACAACATATCAAACGGTCCCATTACCGAGTTACGAATAACATACTAAACAGTGCTTCAGGCAATCAGCTTAGCCGAGTTATTGTTTTTCAAGTAGAAAGACAACTGTAACCAGAAAGATTTACACACGTCAACTAGTTCATTACTTATTTACTCTAGTGAGTTGCCGTCAGACGGGCAAAACGAGGTCCTTATCTACCTGACCTGCATGCGTTTGTCACAAATTCCACCTGGTGACATGGGATGCACTGCCAAAGTCAAGCGAGCAAATCTCACTGATATATCCCCAGTTACCCCACTGAATAAATTTTATCTGATTGTTAAACAACTTGGCCGTCTAACGTGTGGGCGTTATGGCGAGCTGCCAATGTGATATGTTTCTGACAAGGCTTACCTCCGTGGTCGATTGCGTCACCAACTGGTCAAAGGTGAACACTTGTGTGAGAAGCCTCAGCTTTAGGTACTGTGAGCCAACAATTTCGAACCTAAAGAACAGGGGAAAGCAAGGGAGTGCATTGCAGAAGTACAAGTGGAAGTTTTGAAACCGGGTTACTTAATCGACAAAGCGCTCTATAATGCAATCGTTGCAGTGCAGCGAATAACACATACACGCACATGGGCAATTTAGCGAACAATGTTCCTTCTCGATCACATGGCTCGAAGCAACTTGCAATCAAGTGACTAAAAAACCGATACTGCATGGGGCTACATATCGGGAAGTAGGTGGTAATTGTACCCTCTACATTCCTGATATCAGTGCAAAATGCACCTCTGAATCGCGATACTCGGAGCCTCGTTTATGAAGGTGGAAAGTACCATGAACATTCAACTGTTCAAATCAAGTCAAGCCAAGTCAATAGAAAGCTTTATGCACCCGGATGGTTGTGCTTTCAGCATTTTACCCTATTTAACACAAACGTGAGAAAACAACCTCAGTAAATACGAGAATTCTACAAGTGCAAAACAAAATGGGAAGAGTGCACACATGTCACTTGAGTTAACAGTTTTGCCTTTTTAAGCAACCAGCGCATATTGATAGAGAGAATCATAATATTCTTTATCCGGCTGACGTGGTCAACTTTTATCAAAACATTACTTGACAGCTCTTGTTATTAGGATGAAAGTGGCAAACTACGAGTTATTCACGGTGTCTTGGATAAGTTTTCAAGAAGCTGCGAAATCGAGCGGCCTGAGTGAGGTTGGAATCATTCAGCCAACGAATTCGTTATAATATTCAAACAAAATTGATACCTTTACAGTAGATGGTGCAAGAGCAATGTTTTGGGAAGTGCGGCGACGTTCACTTCGAAGGTGCCGGCTTTGTCACCATAAGGTTGCAAGAACAACTGGTGGCTGCTGGCCTTCGGGAAAATCCTCCTGAGGTTCATGGAACCCAGACCTAGTCGGTTACACATAAGCAAGCGGATAAACTGCATTGTGTTGTATGAACTAGGCATGGCGCCTTCTAGTCACACAGAAATGACATGTTACGAGAGATACTGATTCAGGTAGATCAAAAAGTCATCAAAAGTACGCCGGTCCATTGTATCGCCCCTTCGCTGTCCAGCGACCAACACCACAAGATCACCCTCAATTACTCAGGCTCTAACTGGTAACGTGTAGGCTATAAGACACCAACAGCTACTCGGTCACCGACTGTGTAGCCAACTCGTTCTCATCAACAAGCACTTTATAACATTGCTGAGAGGTGTACTGGAACTCCGCCATGTGGAAAAGCTCGCTGGAAGCTAAGCGGCGCTCTGTTCGTTAGAACAATCGTTCAATAGCGGCTCATGTAGGCCGAGAAGGAACGGAGTGATACATGATCCTACTGGTTGCAGAATTACCGATGGTCACAAAAGATCGTGGGCGGTAGGAATTTGCATAATACAATAAGAGTAACCATTGGTCGACAAGTTACTTCTAAAGAAATGAGAAGAATCCGCATATCCGCTGCTACCAGAAGGAAGTCTGTTAGCTTATATGAATAGAATTGCGCGGATAGTTTAACCAACCCCCTTATACGGTTTTATGTGGTATAACTATGCATATATCTTGTGAGAAAGACGCAGTTTTTAAAGTCACTCACAAGGTTGTGATGATATAGCTCAAACAGATGGATTCTTCTGTTGGTAGTGTTTGGCTGGGCTGAAACCAAGAACAGAAACCATTATCTGTTAGCAGCTGGACAAACGAATTTCGACAAATGAGGCGTCTTCGGTGGCTCTGAATGATACCCATGGTTTGGTGCCACCCATCAGCCCAACAGGGCAATCGCGGGTTAAAGATGCACATCACGTGTGTGGCCGTGCTTCACTTTCCCTAAATCGCTGTGACCTGTGACTCACCGAAAATAGACATAGGTGCGCACAAAGAAAGAGAATATTTGCAGTTACATGGACTGGATCGGGACGTTTGTTCATTCGACACAATGCACGCAAGTATAAAACTCTTCCCTGCAGATTTTTGTGCATATCTTATTAGGAAATGCAACCCTAATCAGGCACACTGCATCGGTTAAAATGCGCATTCCAGCTAGGGTTTTAGTAGATCCTGTAGATGTCTGCAATCTCAATACATCAAAGTAGCCAGGCGTTCATCAACGGTTGTCATTTATCAAGAGGCTGATTATACGAGGTAACTGGATTGAAACCATTGATGGTGGGATGGGTGTAGTCACATCCTCGTCGTATCTACCTGTAGGGTTGAACTGATTGTCTCACCCTCAACATCCTAAGCCTCTTTAACTGAAGATATACTGTTTTTCCTTGGATCAATCTGACCATTTTCGAATTCACCAGAGGTTGTAGGTAATGATTGGATTCTCGATGTGACGACCATCTAACTGAGTCTGATTGCGGTGGTTTGAATTTCCACCTTGGACTGCGTTGTCCGCGAAGTTTCCTTTGGGTCATGGCCACAAATTCGTGTCGAGCTGGGATCTCATTAAATGAACCAACTAATAACTGTGATTGCCTTCATATCGGTACCAAGCTCCCCTCGTACCGTCTCTTTGGAAGCGCAAATTTCAAACATCTGTGGGGATGTATCTAGGCTTGACAACTGTACGCCTTCCAGATTCATTTTTCTGCCTACATAAACCAAAAAAGACACTGGTTGTAGGTTTGATGCGCATATTTATCTCTGTTCAACCAGAGATGGACTTACAGAAATTTGGAGATAAACACAGCTTGATTTTTTCGACTTCGAAACGCTCCGTGCACGGTATGCTTAATATGTAGGAACCGGAGGTTAAAAATTTTGAGGATACCTCAGCGACTAGAGTGTTGTATGAGGGGAATGAGTGCGAATGTTGTGGTCGAATTCACATTTACGTAAAAAAGATGAATAAATTGTTCTCTGAAATCTATATTAATCGTGAATTTACAGTAGTGAAGGGAGGTGGGCGCACTTGGAGGCGTCAAAACTATCAAGCTCTGGGACAAGTTTTACAAAGAACTCAGCTCGGTGAAATAAAGGGGTTCGAACATATGTATCCGATAATATCAACACTGTTCTTTTGTGAGATGTAGCTTAAATATGCCATAGTTCGTGTTGGTGGGCGAGAAAATTGCTTGCTTCTTTTCAGAAGGTGAGTACCAGTTTACTTACTGCACCGTGATGATCTTTTCGGGTGGCTTAAAAGGATCATTTCACCGAAAAGGAAATTTACCTACGGATACCAGTAACTCACTTTCACAAACAAAGAAAACGGTCCAGCTTCATCGATACAGTGGAGGGGAGATAGTGCTTCTTCCGGTTCATAGATGTCAGCCTTTCTAGAACGACATGATTCCATGGTTGGGATGAGAGGCACTAACTGTGCGGAACTAAGGCTGATGCACGGCTGACTGGGATCCTACAAATGAAAAGGTACACATCATATTTTAATGCAGTCTATGAAATAAAAAGCAAGATATGAGGAATACCGTAGACCACAGCTGGGCGAGAGGAAACAGCAGATTTGTAGTGCTTCTATGCTGATAGTTCCGTTCCGTTCAACGAAACAGTCCTTGCTCGATGTGTAATACAGTGCGCTGAAGCCGTTAGGTATGAATCCCATCGCCATGAGATCATTAATGGATAATAATTGAGAAAGGTTGCGAGAGAGAGAGAGAGATGAAGAGCAGACTACAAGTAAAAGGGAACAGAAAGTACACATTCGTTACATGAAAGAGCTGCCTGGGTCGAGCAGTGACTTCGTGCAACCAAAGTTGGGGCCCAAGGCGTCAAGAAGTTATGGACTCATTCACCCACGCCTTACTGTCTGTTTAGATCCTGCGTTTCCAGCGCAGTTGACTGGTCGGTATTGTCCACCGAAATCGAACGGGTACGCTAGGCCAGATTCCATTTGTTAATACTGTTGTCATACAACGTTAGGTCTTTAAAAGTACTACGGCGAAGCTCTGTGCACAATAGCACCAGGCAAGAAACGGTGACATCCACAACCCATACGCCATATAAGAAACACTGATTAAAAGCACACTGCCTATTTATGAGGAAGAAGAAGAACTCAGAATTATGAGCAAGTCGTGATGGCCATCGTCGCTAAGTCCCAAACGCCAGCTTTACAACTGCGATGAACTCATCAATCCCCAAAACTTTGCTTAATTTTCAGCATCGATTTTCACCGGCATGCATGACAAGCTGAATGGCATACTTATGCGGGCTCCTACCATCGTCACATGTCAGCTAGTTGGATTTTCGAAGAATTGGCGCATTTGTCACAGTTGAGACTACTGTGGAACGTCTAGCATCACCAAGCCTGAGTTAACCTATGAAAGCATCGGCTGTGGATGGTAGGAGGTTTCGGTATTCCACTGGAATCCGCTAACACAACCACGGAGCGCTGTATCACAATTGACACATCTCAACCAGAGGGTGAAGCTTGTCAGATAGCGTAATGAGGGTGGTGGCCATATAGTCAGCAAAGCGACTGTTAATTCATCTGTCGGCAAAATACGCTTCCTCACGAGGGTTGTCAAAGTGCACCACACGAAGTCAATGATAAGCTACTTCATGGCCCAGTTTTGACAGCAACAATTCCAAGATAATAGTATTATTCACAAATGCATCCACATACGGTATAGCGAGTACTCACAGTAGAAACACCGAGGGTGAGTTGCACGATAGAAAGCGGATTGCCCTTGAAAAGAGGACTTTTGTCTACCGGTAGTTGTCTGTACAACATTTCACGGATCCAGTCACCTGAAATGAGAGAAAAGCGGACGGAAAGTAGCAGATTGGGCAAGGAAAATATCAGTGAACATGCTAGGAGTGTAAATTTATTGATGACAATGCTTGGGAATACTGCGCTTCTTCAAAGTGCGCAAAGCATACACCAGTTTGGTAAAATAGTACACTACTACCTATGGAAAAGTTATGCAAACTTGGTTTTATATTGCGCCCGCTTCATCGGTATAGTCCGTTTGCTGCACTAGCAACATTTTCAGCATAAACTCATGTCCTTGTACAAGTGTTTGCGCTCCAGCTCCCCAATGTGACCTTCGTGAGCAGAGGGACACAAGGTTGGTGTACATGCTTCAGCAACAAATGTAAGAGCTTTCGGGTGGCGAAATAGAACTGTTTTCCAGTTGGCATATAGGAGTTATCCCTTTATGCCACACTCCTTTTGTGCATCTACAAAGGCAGTCTAACTGTGGTTGAAGCAGGTGCAGCATGAAAGGTGAATTTGCTACTTATACCTAGTGCGCACAGTTCATGTCCAAGTCTTAGAGCCAACAAAGAAACGACAGACCTCAAGGATAGATTTGACGACACACGCTAGACCATACTGAGTGTGAACTACCAACTGCAATTTTAAGAAACACTGGTCGATCCAAATCTAGCGTATCGGTGATAATCCGCAAATTCACTAGACAAAGAAAGAGCACAGCACAGGCCAGTGTACAAGGCGTACCAGCTGTAATAATGAGGTAGTAGAGCCATCTGTTCAAGAGTATGGTTCAGTTGTTAGGCGAAGAAGCGTGATTTGGGAAGTGTATACAGTCACGTAGACTAGAACTGTACATTATAGGTGAAGACAAGACCGGTCTGCAAAGAACGATGTGAGAGCTAAATGGGCCAATCAAAGACAACAGGAGACTGAAGGTTTATTCAATCTGTTGCTTGGGATCCCATAGAATGTCGTGCTTCAGTTTACCTATGACAACCGGTTGACACTCTCTGCTACGGAACAATCACCCGGTTTTGACTTAAGAACATCAGTTACTATTTCCCAACTTCATACCTGTCAGATATTTTCTCCAATATGCATTCTGTCCCAGAAGAATAGGCTTTTGAGCAGCCACGGATTCGAAAAAAAATAAACACCTTTATAAAACATCTTATGATGTTTACTAAACTGGGCGACTTGAATCATCAGAAGCCAAGACAGTGTGGCTGAAATTCCTTAGTATCTGCTCACCACCTAAATGTACCTCCCATTCACTTAGCAAATGACTTTGCCAGTGGAGCTTATTTGGTTTTCAAAGAGACGGTGACACATCTGCTCTGATTCAGGGCAACAAAAAGCTAACTTCGATTTAATAGAAGAAATCTCCTTGATATAAAATTAATAGTAGTCAAAAGTTCGTCACCCTATGGTCTTTGCAACTTTCCAATTGATATTTTCTTCTTGTCTATTTACCTTTAGGGCTCTAGCCAGTTCCCTACATTGCTCCCATTTTCCTTGTCACACATTTAATCCTATTTAGAGCACACCATGCCTGTAGCTTTGTGAAATGGACATCCTCCATAGTCTCAATGAGATTCTGCTTACCAGCTGAATCCTCCGTTTCGGGTGGCATCTCATCAAGCATATTCACGGTTAGCGTAGGTCTAATGCAATCCTGCAATGAGTAAGCAAGGCAGGTGGATTTATAACAAAGAACACAGTCTGCTGTTGATCATCCTATTGGTGAGTGGCCCCGTTGCACTCGACTCGATGTGTTGGTCCATCTCATCTAGGCAGCTATCGCCTTGAGTTTACCATCCAAACTGCTTATCTGATGGTTTGAGTGTAACGTGACTTTATTTCAATAGCCTATCCGGTAAAATTATCATCAGGAGTAGCACAATACCCACGATGGCACAATCGTGTAAACAATGACACGTGGCAACAAAGTGGAAATTAGTGACGAGAGCCTGCCTTTTTAAATGGCAGCAACATTATTACCATTTACTTACTAGCTTCAAACTTAATGCCGCTGTTTGCCTCTATAACCATTTTCGGTAAGTTAATGTTCTGTTCTAATACTTCCTCATTTAACTCACGGATAGTTGAGGTCCCGGTTTACCTTTGCGCAGCATTGCCAACTTGCATGCCGTGCTTTCATTATCCGTTGGTTGGCATTGAAAATGGATTCCGGCAATGACTAATGAGAAGCCTGAACCGCTCCCTAACCTCTTCAGATCGTCTATCCTTGATTTTCACAAACGATCTGGCGAGAGAAATTATTACCAGTTTCCTATTCTTCGCGAATGACATCATGTTATGGCGTGCCCTCAAAGAACCGAACGACTACGTAAAGCTCCAATGTGACCTCCACACCAATTCAACTTGATCGCTTTTGAATACGCTACCGTTCAATGTTAAAATGTATCACGCTGTTCAATTGTGCCATAGACATAACTACTGTATAGGCCTGGGTCACATTATTGCAAACAATTTCCAATGACAACGACCTTGGTGTGCTCATTCAAAGTGAAAACTGTTCGAAGCAGTCAGAGGCAGCTACAAAGAGAGCCAACCAGCCCATGGGCCTGCTGATGAGAGCATTGGGGATTCGACCCACGTATCTTCCCCATGATGCAAAATTCTTAAGTGGGCCCTCTGGTTGAATACGCCATCCAAGCTTGGCAACCCTAGTTAAAGCGCGACTTAGAAAAGCTAGAGAAAGCACAACTTAGGGCCACAAAGAATGTCGAGGGACTAGGAAATCTGTCCTAACATCACAGGCTGAAGTCACTGGAAGTTTCCAGTGACCGCTACCGAAGGCTGCGTGGCGATCTCATATTAATCTACCAAATAGTTTGTGACTATAATCACGTACGCCGTCACTTGCTGAAAAAGCCATAACACCAATCTCACAGGTAAACCTGTGAGATTGTATGCATCGTATAGCTGCCTTTAATGCCGGCGGAATTCTTTTTCTCTTCGAGTTTGCCAATCCTGAAACTCTCTCCCAAACGTCGTTGTTTTCTCTCCTACCTTGGATATTAGTAAAATACGATTGGCTCTTGCCCTTGCCTCTGTAGCGCCCAAAAAGATAACTCTTATCTTTCGTGTACAATTTACTTGTTGACCGATTGTACATTACTCCTTCTTGTTTTAATCTTACAACCGGCTCGACACACAACTGCCTTGTAAGTCCCCGCGCTCACGTGTACGCTCTTGCCTCGCTTCATCCGTCCGCTTATTGTTGTAGCCCATCGAATACAGTCCGCTGTGTCCGACTCCAATTGCCTTCTGATATCCGCGCTTAATTCCGCGCATCGTCTCGGACTAGTATTGACTAGTCCTACAAATTGGTGACCCCGATTCGCACGCGCGAATTCAACTTTTTTTTCTCGTTTGTATTTTTGGTGAGTTCGTTCCTTTTTCTCGATTATATACGTATATTCATTTGTTTCTTGCGTAATTTTAGTACTTTTATCGTATTTCGTTCGTTCTTTATCTTTCGACTCACATTTCGAGAGTGGTATCTGAGTCGTTTCACAGCGTAACCATGCTTACTTTGGCTGTTCCAAGTTTCATGGAACACAGTCCAGAAGTTTGGTTTAAGATATTCGAGATCGAACTAGAAAATAAGGGCATAACGGCGGACCGTCCAAGGTACAATCAGCTCGTCCCACGCCTTCCTCCGTCGGTAGTGACGCTGATTGAGGACATTCTACTCTGCCCATCGAATGAGGCAAAGTATGAAACGATGAAGCAAGCGATTTTGAAAGAGTTACGACCCAGCGCACGAACACGATTTGAGCAGCTCAATGGTCTCAAGCTTGGGGATCGCAAGCCGTCGGCATTGCTCCGCGAACTTCAGCGCATCGCTGGTCCCTTATTCTTGAGCGAAGAAGGGATAAAGGAGCTGTGGTTTGCACGTCTCCCAGAGCCATTGCCGGTAATGCTGTCCATGTTTATAGATGCACCCTTGAAAGACTTAGCTACCAAGGCAGACGCTGCGTTCGAACGTTTTCCGCAGCAGACGACCAGTAACTCCGGTGACGCATTCTCACCGATGAAAACCGAATCACATGTTTGTTCCCAGTCGCTAGACCGATCTGACTCTAAAAACGAGGAAATTGCGCTACTTCGCAGCAGGATAGCAGCATCGAAGTCTTCGAAGCAGCGGGTGCCACGGTCAAATGCTGACCACGTTTTGGCTACCGTTCATTGCAGCTCGTCTGTGCCTGCACCGAGTACGTCACGTTCGGCACGAAAGCGCCACATTTCCCTTACAAGTTCTCAGTCAGATTATGTCAAGCCCGTCGAAGAAGTATGTTGGTATCACCGCCAATACGGTGGAAGAGCTAGACGTTGTCGGGCTCCCTGCATTAGGCACGACCCAGGGAAAACGAATAGCCCGCATACTAGCACTACAAACGTAGCATGCAATAACCAAGCAAACCGACTGTTTTACGTTAAGGATCGACGTTCTTCCATCACGTTCCTCATCGACACGGGAGCGGAAGTCAGCGTCATCCCAGCGACCGCTAGCGACAAGCACTCGAAGCCTACGTACAATTTGCGTGCGGCCAACGGTTCTCCGATAGCTTCATTCGGTCAGCGCATGATGAACCTAGACCTCAATCTTCGCCGAGATTTTCAGTGGGTCTTCATGGTTGCGTCTGTACCCTTCGCGATTATCGGTATCGACTTCCTCCGACATTTTGGGTTGCTTGTTGATGCTGGTCGCCACAGACTTTTAGACGATCGTACGAAACTAGGTGTTGATGGTGTCCTTTCAGATGCCCCGATAATCAGCCCTGTATTTCGAATCGCAGACGCACCGTCCGACTACTTGAGCCTCCTCTCCGAATACCCGCGACTGGTTCGACCGGCTGCAGAGCTTCCACCAGTCACAACAGAGGTCGCTCACCACATAGTTACGCGCGGTCAACCAGTTAGCGCACGGCCAAGACGGCTTGCTCCAGACAAACTACGGGCAGCACGAGCCGAATTTGACCACATGCTTCAACTTGGTATCGTCAGACCGTCCAACAGCCCATGGGCGTCGCCTCTGCACATGGTCCCGAAGAAGGTTGTGGGGGACTGGCGTCCTTGCGGCGACTATCGATCCTTGAATACGGTAACCACGCCTGATCGCTATCCGATCCCACACATAGTGGATCTCACCGCCAGTCTGGCGGGTAAAAGTATCTTCAGCAAAATCGACTTGGTACGCGCATACAACCAAATTCCGGTAGCCGAGGCGGACATCGCTAAAACTGCCGTGACGACTCCATTTGGTTTGTTCGAGTTTCTGCGTATGCCATTTGGTCTAAAGAATGCCGCGCAAACTTTTCAGCGTTTCATCGACCAAGTTTGTCGCGGCTTAGATTTCGCTTACGCGTATCTTGACGACATTTTAATCGCAAGCTCTTCACGAGAAGAGCACATACGCCACGTACGAACACTTTTTGATCGTTTATCTCAACACGGGGTGACGATCAACGCAGAAAAGTGTTCGTTTGGTGTCGATTCAGTTAATTTCCTGGGCCATCGTATCTCTTCTGCAGGCGTCGTGCCACTGCAAGATAAAATTCAAGCCATTATCGACTACCCCGAGCCTCATTCTTTCAAACAGCTCAGGCGTTTTGATGGCCTTGTTAACTTTTATCGTCGATTTATACCCAACTGCGCCTCTCTGATGCAACCCCTCACGGACCTTCTCCGAGGGAAACTCAAGACGTTCGAATTTCCTACCGCAGCACGCGCTGCTTTTAAGTCGCTGAAAGAGGCTATCGCCAACATAGCTTCCATAGCGCATCACGATCCGACCGCCCCACTGTCCCTTAGTACTGACGCCTCGGACGTCGCAGTCGGCGCTGTTTTACAGCAACGAGTAGCCGACACGTGGCAGCCCTTAGCGTTTTTCTCCAAACGCCTACAACCTACCGAATCTCGCTACAGCACGTTCGGTAGAGAACTACTTGCCGTATATCTAGCGATACGTCACTTTCGACACGTCCTAGAAGGCCGCTTCTTTGTCGTCTTCACCGACCACAAACCCCTAACTTACGTGCTCGGCTCGACTACCGACCGATACTCTCCTAGAGAGTCGCGCCACCTTGACTATATCGCTCAGTTTACGACCGATATACGGCATGTCTCAGGTGTGCACAACGCCGTCGCCGATGCACTTTCCCGCATTCAAGCTATCTCCGCTGACGCCGGCACTGCTATCGACTTGGCAGCCATGGCCACAGCACAACTCAACGATCCTGAGGTTGAACTACTACGCAGGTCTCCCTCATTGGATATACGACCCGTTCCGCTGACATCATCAGACGGAACGATACTCTGCGATTTATCTCTGGGCACGCCGCGCCCAGTCGTCCCACGTGAGTTTCGGCAGACCGTGTTCGACGCGTTGCACGGCTTGTCTCATCCAGGCGTTCGTGCATCGGTTAAACTCGTAACCGCACGATTCGTTTGGCGCAATGTTAATCGGGACGTCCGTACCTGGGCAGCTGCTTGCCTTCCGTGTCAACGCGCGAAGGTACACAAGCACACGAGAAGCCCATTAGGCACTTTTCCGACGCCAGACGCACGCTTTCATCACGTGCACGTCGACCTCGTAGGTCCTCTACCGCCTTC